GAGGTGATCACGGAACAGGTATATGTCGCATGGCGCCCGTGCATCCTCAGGCTATAGTCGTCGGAGAGGACTTCGCTGGCGCTGTCGAAGCCGAAGCGTTTCTGGCTTAATTTTATCATGTCCTGTGCGCTGTTGTTTCGTGCGGGTAACATCTGGTGGTTGCAGGATCCGTATGAATGATGAGAGTTTAAGGCAAATCGATGGCTTCACTTGTCGTCGTTCTGCTCTGTGCACGTAGCGCTTATGTGATATGTTGCAAAGCGGGAGACTCTGAGGCGCTCACACTGCATTGGCCACAGCAGCGGCGCGCGTCTTCCCTCGCCTTCGCCGCGGGACCCCTCCGGGTCCGGTGCGGGCTTCCCGGCGCTGTGGCCGGCTGGTGACCGCCCGCAGCCCAGGCCTGAGAGCCGGCCCGGACCTGATCGGCGCTGTGGCCGGCTGGTGACGGCGCGCGGCCCTGCTGAGAGGCGGCCCGGGCCTGACCGGCGCTGGAGCGGCGCCAGGCACGGGCCGCGCGAGTGCGTCGGACGGCGAGCCTGAAGGCGGCAGTGATGGCGCGGCGATAACGCCGCCCGCCGCCGTCTGCAGACATCGAGGCGGAGATGTGTCGCGAGGCCTCCCGACGGCGGCCGCGCCCCGAGCCGGCGCCCCCGACCCGCGGCGGAATCCGTCAAAACTCCGCTGTTTTGGGCCAGAAATGCTGGCCGAACAGCTTTGTCTAGAAGGTTGGGCCCATAAAGCGTCATGTTTATGATTGCACGAAATGTGGTATGTTACTGAGATATTCTCTTAAAATGCGGTGGATTCGCTCCGTAGCTGTAAAAGCCGGGAGCAGAAGGGTCGGCTCGCAGGAAAGCAGTCCCAGTCTGAGTTCACGAGGTCCAGGAACGGCATGAATAAATGTTGAGTTGACATGATACTTGACGAGGACGTCCGGCTCTCTGCATGTGACGATATAGTGGACGTGGCCAGCCATGAAACAGTATCTGACGTACTATCCCTCCACATTAACAGGAGACGCTAGCTTACAAAAGATGAGACATGCAGTTACGTTTGCGATGGAGGCTGTATTATGCGGCAGTGTAGAAAATCACTTATTGACGGCCACAAATGGTTGTTTTATGCAAGTTGTTCAACGTGGTTGACTTTGGAACCGTGTCCATTACACCAAACATTGCATCGGAAACCACAGAAGGAAAACGCTATTGAAGTGGCATTTGAAGGTTGCTGAAGCCACATAAGAGATATGGGTGCAAACATATCTTACCAAAGGCCCCTGACGACAATAGCTTTTTCACAACAGCACGTCGATGCCACAAAACAACCCAGGAGCCCTTGACTTCGACCGGAAACATGAGGCAGATCCATTGAGCACACCACTCGCGCCTCTTACTATCGCTATCGGCAGAACAGTACCGTGCCCAGCAACAGGCAATGCAACGACGGCGACTGAGGCAGCTCGATTTGGTTGAATGTATCAGTCTTTCTGCTACAGCGACGGCGTTTGCTGGCCCGTGTGCGGATCCGAAGTTGGCACGTCTGATGCTGGCCTATCCTATCAACGATGTGCTGGCCGTGAGCTGTTGTGGTCGCCATCTGTTCAGCACATGTTGAGTGGTGCAAGATCAGCCCAGTTGTGCGAAGCCAACCGAGCCGTCTTGTGACGCCAGATGGGTTGATGTCTCCTGCCCCTCTCCACTATTGCGCCTAAAGTTAACGTGTTCTGCGCACAGTGAGTCTGGGGTACCTCACGCGAAGTGCGCACGGATCGCGATATCCGGATAATTGATACCGAACTCGGCTATCCGCTTCCTTCGTGGGTTCTATCCTCATCACTACAACATAATAGCTTTCGCTCATTTCCGGGCAAAACTTGATGTATTCCTTGGTCATTAGTGATTTATTGTGTTTTGTACCACCGGTGGCTGCCTGCTACATCCTGGATGTTTTGTACCACCGGTGGCTGCCTGGATGTCACATACTTTGTATATGCCGCACCGCAATCCGAACAATAATCGCACGCACTTGCTGAATCCATTGTTTGATATGGATGACCAGCACGGATTGTGCCACACAACTGGCGACCTGGACTTGAATGGCCTGCTTGCGCGTTTAGGCCATGGGTGGTGGCAGGTGTTAATTTCGATGCATGTGAGCATAATTACATAGTGGTCCTTGGGGTCATATGCCCCGCTGCCACCCCCTACCAAGATAATGATGTACATGAATGTCTGTGTGAATACTTATAACAGTTTATTCAAGGTAGACACGTAAAACATAACAAGATCAATAGCGTGCAATGTTGTTTTATGCCGGTGAGGAAATTCCGTGCGCCTGCAGTGCCCTAACCTCAGTTTTTAGTGAACGTTTTAGGACTGTATCCCCTTCCATCTTTTAGTCCTGCATACGCCCCTGGTGATGCGCAACAATGCAGTGTGCACCGTTTGACATGTTTGGCTGAAGCAGTGGGATAAGAGGTCCGCCACGACAGGCCCGGTGCACCCAAACAGGTACACGCCTGTATATCGCATCACAATTTACGGCTTAGTGACGAAAAGTTAATGCAGCGTGCAAAAACACACGATATCTCTCCAAGAAGTGTCTAATAGCGCTTGCACCGTCTGTTTGCCTGTCCGTAGGCATTCCTGAATCTAGCAGAACTGGTTCAACTGATGCTCTTGACGACCTGATACTTCACAGAAAAACGTAATCCTAAAATCAAGTCATTATAAACATTACGGCACCCACTCTGCCAATGGCTCTCCTTCAGACAACCGATCAAAATGGCCATTTCCATCAGCTTCAACTTCTTTGATGTGGCCCTGCCGCTTCTTCGCTTGCCGCCAATCAAGCCCCGATTCGCTGTCTTGCCACCCCCGTCTCCGCAGACGGCGTGTTTTGCCCGGCGCCCGTCCATCAAACCGGCGACTGGTAATCATTGGCGAAACAAAGAGCCATCAGGCGTCGGGCGTACGGCGCTTCCAAGCCTGCCGCTTTTTGGCCGACTGTTTTTCGCCGGTTTCGGTGACGATGCACTGATTTCGCTGCCGCCCCCTCGGCTGGGGGCGCCCATCCATCACGCGAGTTTTTGTCAAACATTTTTATTTCACCACCGACGGGCGACCAAAGTTTGCGCGCAACGCTTGAATTTGAAATCCCTGGAGATCAGGGGCTTTAAGTCACGTCATTGTGACGCGGCGAGCACCCGGTCTGCGCCGCACTGCAGGGCTTCGGCGCATGCAAATTATGGCCGTCCTGGCGAAAGAAAGGAGCTGGCAGCAGACAGACGTCTGTCGCGTCATGATGTGGCTCCACTTCGCCCTGCGAACACGCGTTTTGAGCCGGTCATTACGATACCAGAACCTGAAAAGGTGATGTAAGATTCGAGGCGGCGTGTCGGCTTCTCTCCTCGCACTTGAAGTGCAATTTCGGGTTTAAAGTAAGAGTTTAATGTTGGTTTACCGCTGGAGTTCAATGAGGACGTCGAAGAAACCATATTCAGCAGGGTATGTCTCTACATACGTCGTGGACAATGAGGAGGCCAGTCCGTCTTCCAACAAGGCAGTCTGTCTGCCGGTGACTACGATAGGCCCTTTCCTTTATTTAGTCCGGTCATCACCGGAACAGACACCTGGTAAAACTTACTCAACATGGAAGGATACAGGCAAAACACCACCAATCAGGGGGGGAGGGGGGGGGCGGAAGCTAAGATCCCCCGTGGGCTGAGTCCTAAATTTCTGAAAATTTAATTGGTTTCCACTTTCCTCGCCACCAACGCTCAGGGGACCTGAAGACAAGAGGACTCTTCAGAAATGCTGCGACTTAGTCCAAATGTACGGCCGCCTGGTCATATGTTATTAATCATAAGGCATTGGAAGCCGCTCTCGCATCAGTGTGTGTAAGTTATGAGCCGTCAGTGCTGCTGAAGCTGGCGGCAGTTTGACACATATCCGCTGGTTTTGTCACGTGGCGGTGCGGCAGCGGACGCCTCGTTCGAAGCGCTGGCGGCCCGTCGGCACCGTGCAAAGTATGGGTTCTAGCCGGGTTCGACAAGGTGTCACTCATTCAGTCGAGACTCGGTCAGCACTCAACCCTCAGTTAATCTGACCTCGCCCGGTCCGACTGGATCTTAACCAGGTCCTCTCATGCCAGGTCCAAATATCCAGTCAACCTGTCTTTCAGATCCGACTTATCCCACACCAACCATATATAGTTGTAACTCCTACGCGACGGATGGGGCGTAATGTAGAAGAAAATGCTGGTGCCGAATGTATGCCGAATGCATTTGAAGCTTACGGCTATCAGATTGAGAAGTGTTTCGTAACATACTGAAACAGGAGTCATGCGGAAAAGATGCAGTAAACAAAAGCCTAGTTCACGATTAACGTTGATTACGTTAACATCCATGTTGGGTAACGAGCTGGTCATGAGGATGTGGTACGCCGCACCTTCGATCACACAGTGTGGTTGGCGGCAGCCTCGTTATGCCCAGGTGAAGCATTTAGACTCAACCGTGCGAATATATATTTCGCGGCATTGGGCCATGCTCGAGCTCGCTGAACCCATAACAATAATTTGCCACTGATGCGATGTTGAAGAAATGGTCAATTCACCCCAAAAGCGCATGGCATCACGAGTACGTGCCGCAACCATGCTCTGCGGAGAGCAAACTTACCGCTTCCCAATATTGCTTCTGTGCCCAACCTTTTCGAAAATAATGATTATGCCTTTGTTACATCGCAATAGTCCTGCGTCCGACTGGGATAACCGAACGCTGACCGCGTGCTGGCGTCAGACACGCTGGCAAATTTTTCTTTGGGAGACGATGAGGCAACATGTCAAATTTTGTCCAAAGTCCTGCGAATTTGAACAGAATTCCCGCAAAACCGCTCAATGTCTAGTGCAGCCTACAGGCTCTGGGCGAGGGATATGGGGCCGTGCCCACCCACCCCTTGACCGCGTTTCTACCAAATGTTAACCTTCTTTCTCTCCGTTTGCAGCGGCCGTGCAGGAGAACGGTCTGCCTCGCCGACTGCGCACTGCCTACACCAACACCCAGCTGCTGGAGCTGGAGAAGGAATTCCACTTCAACAAGTACCTGTGTCGGCCGAGGCGCATCGAGATCGCCGCCTCGCTCGACCTCACCGAACGCCAGGTTAAGGTCTGGTTCCAGAACCGGCGCATGAAGCACAAGCGACAGACGCTGACGAAGAGTGGCGACACGGAGGAGGAGCGCGCCCTGCAGAAGGTGGAGAAGCAGCGCTGCGAGGAGGAGTGCGGCGTCAACGGCTTCTGCCGCGCACCCGACTTGCCGCCCGACTACCACAAACGCGCCGACAAGCCGGACGAGCTCAAGAGCGAGCGCAACAACAACCAGCCAGAGGAGACAGCGACGAGCCCGGCCGACGCGGCGGCGGACGCGGCGGCGGCCGCCGCCAGCCCCACCGAGGAGGCGGCGTCGGGCTCGGAGGGCCGGCACGAGTCGCCGCCGCCGGCCGCCGACAGCCCGGCCGGCTTCTCGCCGCCGTCGCTGCGCGGTGGTAGCTCGCCCGACGCGCTGACCTCGTCGTCAGCTGACCTGGCGGCGGCGGGCGGCGGCGGCGCGCCGGCGCCGGTGGCGGTGACGTCTCCCGGCGCGCCGCCGCCGGGGCCGCCGCAGCCACCACCGCCGCCGCCGCCGGCCGGCTACCTGCAGCAGGTGACGCGGGCGCAGCGCCAGCAGCCGGCGTACGCGCCGCCCCCGCCACCGCAGCAGCAGCAGCAGCCGCACCAGCCGTACCAGCGGCCCGACCAAATGGCCGGCTATTACCAGCAGTACGGCTTCGGCGGGGCGCCGGCGCGGGCCGGCCCGAGCGGCTACCCGCCTCCGGTGCCGGCCTACTCCGCGCCCCGCGCCGCCAGGCCGGTGCCGCCCGGCCGCGAACAGCTTGCTGCCGCGCAGTACCCGTACCAGCGCGCCTACGGCGACGGCTTCGGCGAGCAGTACGGCGGCTACGCCCGGCCGTGCGCGGGGTACGAGCAGCCGGCGGCGGCGCAGTACGTCAACATGCAGTACGGCGAGTACGGCTACCAGAACGGCTACGCAGTGCACGCAGGCCAGCCGCAGCCGCAGCAGGGCTACTACGCCAACGGCTACGGCCCGCAGGCGTACGGCGCCGTGGCTAAGGTGACGGGCTACGCCACCGCCGGCCACGCCGCCGCCGGCCAGAAGGTCTGCCCGCCCGAGTACGCGGCGCCGGTGCCAGCGAAGGCCGGCATGGAGTTTAAGCCGCAGGTGGGCTGCCTGCCGGACGATGTGCACAAAGCGGCCGAGTTCACGGCCAAGGGCGGCGACCCCAAGCACGCCGCCTTCTACGGCCACTACGGCGAGCCGGCCGGCGGCTACGGCGAGTACGCCGGCGGTGGATCTCAGGCGGGCGGCGAGGGCTACGGCTACTTCGAGGGCGGCGATCACGGGCCGTCTGACTTCAACTTCCTGTCGAAGCTCATCACCGACGACTCGGCGCACTACTTCCCGACCATCTGCAAGGAGTAGCGGCCGTCGCACGGACGCACGGACGGCCGTTGGCGAAACAGGGTCACGCTCGTGTAAAGGTCAAGAGCCGGGCGCGCCACGCACGTCCGAGCTGAGGTGAAGGTTGCGCTGAGATACAAAGTGTGGGCTTTACAGGAATGTGCAGTATTATTGCGAGAATCTGCGGTGCCCGGCCTGGCTTTGTGACCCGCGTCTGCCGCCGTGATCTGTGGAAGTCGCGTCGACTCTGAGGTACTTTCATTGTGTTGCTGATCGACGGGGAGCTTGCGTCCTTCTGCCGCTAGAGTTGATTTCGCATGTGCGCAGTGCTCGTGCGAGGTGTTTCGTGGGTTTTGCTGGGCCGCGCGACTGAGTGCGCCGTTTGGGAGCCCGCGATGAAAATACAACCGCACTAACGTGACCTGTCGCTTCCTTATTTAACCCGTATGTTGCTTTTCCATTGCCTGCTTTGCGCTTCGTGTTTGTTGCACTGTCTCATTCGTTCGACGCTTGTATTTAAGGACCTGCGCGAGCTCATCTCTCATGCAGAACGCATCATCTCATCGCACTCGCTGAATCGCAAACCGCGCTGACTCTTGACATCGACTCGACCCAGCCTTCGCGGGCCGCCACCGGTCCACCCCTGACGGCCTCCAGCGAGCACGGCCGGGCGTCGCCGCGCGCGCATCCTAAGCTAGCCGTAGCGGAGGTCAACCGCGCTCTAGCGACGTTTGAATGTTATCGTTGCGGCGCCGCGCGCGTCGACCGCATTGGCCCGCCGGCCTGCAAAGCAATAGGCAACCTGATTGTTGTGTCGTTCGTCACTTGTCATGTCATGATGCGTGAATAAACCCATGGTGAACTCAGTCGCCTGCTGGCGCGGGCAGCGGAAGCCGTGACGTGCGGCGCCGGGAGACGTGACGCCCGTGACGGATGGGTGTTAGGGCTCGCGCGGCCGTGCGTCATGTCAATCGCGCTGACCGGGCGCGCCGGATGTGTCGCGCACGGCAGGCCGTCTCAACATTGCCGTCACCGGGAGGCTGTCGGCGTAGTTTAGACTATATCGGGCGCGCGGTGCACTTCGCCGATGTGCTCGGTCATGCCAGACGACCTCGGGGGCTCACTCGTCGCTTGGCTTTTGTCCAGCGGACAGGCTTGATTGGTTGCACGAGGCTTCTCCGCTGCAAGATGCGGGCATGAGTCTTTCTTTTCGTCTTGCCGTACATCTAAACTCTGACCGTGATCGGGAGGTTATTGTCCACGTGACAGTGTTGTCGATCCCTCAACGGAGGAAAAGATGCGTCCCACCTTTGGTGACCCCGAGAGGGTTCCACGAGGCGGGGCAAGGCAGCCAGCAGTCCGCCATTACAGTCCGGATTGTTACAGAAAAACACACACACAACCAGGCAAAAAAATGACAAGGGGAATTCCACGAGCAGATAGACAGATTTTGGATAGAAAGAGGGAAAGAGAGATAGCATGAGAGACGGCCGGGAGAGCACACGCAGCAGACCGGGGAGGGATGGCGAGGAAGGTGATAGCATGAAGGAGCAAGAGAGAGAGGGAGGCGAGACAGAGGGGAGAGGGCGAGAGAGGCGGGATGACTCAGCAATACCAAGCCCTGCCCCCCCCCCCCCCCAAGTCTGCGCTGGGGCGCCGCTGACGGACACTATCGATGTCCTGAATGGACTAATCGGGCACATTTGACAAGGGCCTGTCGGGGTTATCTGACGGCGCCGACGACGACGGCGGATTCAAACTGCGGCCCGGAATCGGCTGCCACCAGGCCTTCTCCCCCTCCAGCGCGCTGAACCCAGCTGCATGTGCCCAGCGGACGCCGGTGCTGAGCTGAGGCCCGGAATCGGCTGCCACCAGGCCCTCTCCCCCTCCAGCGCGCTGAAGCCAGCTGCGTGGGTCCAGCGGACGCCGGTGCTGAGCTGCGAGCCACGCCAGGCAGGGCTGAAGAACACAGCGGGGTTGTGTGTCACAGCCACCGGTCAGCTTTCTCTGTTTCTGGTCGGAGATGCATTTGCGTGGAGCGCCGAGCGCGTACTCTTCCGCGCTATCTAATCCGCGGATCCGCCTTGAGGCCAGTAATAGCCCACGGAGGAGACGAAACCCGGGCTAAGTGCTGCCAAATTAGTGCCAAACTGGTTGGGCAGGAGCTGCAGGCCGGCGGTGGCCGCCTCCGCCGGCGTACCGGCGCGCGCGGATCCATCTCCGTCCGCCGCCAGCCGTAATCAGCGGGAGGAGCGCTTCATGCGCCGAGCGGCGGCGTTTTTGGCGCGCCGCCGCCGCCGCTCGCATGCCCACAATCATTACAGCCGACTGTCTGTAATGATATCCTGTTGTCCGTGGGCCTTGGACCACCGCCATGCGGCCAGCGTCGGCTTCAAACAACAAAAACCGGCCGCTCCGATGGCGCCCAGTGCGGCGCTGTCCGTAAAAAACGGCCGAAATTATCACTTAGCCATATCCGCCCTCTGGTTACCGGCTCGGCGATTAATCAAAAGGCCAGCCGGCAATTTGGCCTATTTTTTGTGCCGCATGCGTGTGTGATTGTTCCGAATACAGGCGGGAATATAGAGCCGCTGTCTGTGGCGAGAACTATTGATCCCTTTGCGTCAGATTGGTATGATTAGCGGCGTAGATGGATGACTTAATGCTAAGCTAGGGTGTACGGCAGACCCACGGGGTAAGACCTGGACCGCTACTTGGAAGCACCAGCAACAGGTACGGCCAGGTCATCACTCAGCCTGAGAATTTCCGACGCTCCGGCCCGCCAACGCCACTCCCCGATCCACGTGCGCTTAGCTGAGGACAAAGCGAGCGTAGGCAGTGGCCTCCAGCCGCGTGATGCATGATGGTGCGAACTCTGGACGGAATGCCACAGCTTTCCGACCAACAGTTCGCTGCATTTTTTGAGAGCATCTTCAGTGTAATGGTAAGGTTGTCGTCCGAAAACCAGAAGCACGTGGTTCGATTCTCTGCGGTACCCACCTGTCCCGCCAGAGTGAGCCGCAGGTGACGCCATGCAGCCTCAGCAGCTGAGTGCGTGGTTAGGCCCCAATGATTACCACATTATATTACATTATTAACCAAGTCTCAGGGCAAGAGCTTCACCACAAACGAAGATCAATCAACTAAATTACATCCACTGCTGTTGGAAATGAATAGAACTGGTATAAATGTGAATGATGTTTCTCGCATTATTTTGGCGTGGTGCATGTAGGTTACATGCCCCTGGGCACACACCGGGCAGGCCCCTCAGAGACGTACTTTCCTATATAGTTGGGAGTGGTGGCTGTTGACACGTTTTGGTGGTAGGGTGTGTCATTTTTCATTGCTCAGCCAGTTCACTCAACTCATTTTGGCGGCCTGCATGCCAGCAGTTGTCCCACATAAGACCCTAGGTCCTGCACCACTTCAGGTGATTCCCCGGATAGGGTCCGCTGGTGTCCTCGAACAGCCTGCCCGGGAAAGGAACGACCACGGCTGGCCAGTCTGTCGGCCCTAGGTCCTGCACCACTTCAGTGGATTCCCCGGTTATGGTCCGCTGGTGTCCTCGAACGGCCTGCTCGGGAAAGGAACGACCACAGCTGGCCAGTCTGTCGGCGGGCCGAAGCTGGTGTCCTCGAAAGACCTTCTCGGGAAAGGAACAACTACAGCTGGCCAGTCTGTCGGCAGGCCGAAGCTGGTGTCCTCGAACGGCCTGCTCGGGAAAGGAACGGCCACAGCTGGCCAGTCTGTCGGCAGGCCAAAGTGACAGTGCTGGGGCGAGCATGCTCATGGTGTTACATTGCACGTGGGGATGGGTTGCCAATGCAGTCAGTATTATTACCCAACATTGACTGAGAAAGAAACCGTACCACGGAGCTAGCGCCTGACACAGAGCAGCTCGTGACACTGGCAAGTGACACGTGTCACGCCAGGCGCAGGGTGACTCGTGACACGGAACGGACGCCTGATGTGGGCTGACCCGTGAGGTGGAGCGGAACATTATGCATTGGCCTAACATGGCGATACCCTCTAGTGAAAACAACAAAAATGATTTTTTTCGTTGTGATTTGAAGCTGACTTTAAAGCTACGTTATTTCTGCGAGATATTTTTATTTCGCAGATAGGCTTGTTTGGGACTTCGTGACGCATACGGGTGGCATTTTAACATGGATAAACTTGGTCAGGCCAAAGTGTTGCGGACACCCAAGAATAGACTCACTCTCGGAGTGAGCTGGGTCCGTGCTTGATGTGGTGCCACAGCGGCGCGGCGTTTCTCTTAAAGGGAGTCTGTACTTTTCACTTCTTGCTACATCAGACGCATACGATTTGATCAGTAGTACCCGTTTTCTCAAAATCGTTCTGAACAGCTCGGAATATCGATTTGAAGCAGTCGATTCGGTGGGAGAAGTCCCATTTGATTCCCTGCTCACCACTATGAAAGTGATACATTTCAGTTGTATTGCTTTTTCCAACGTGTGCTTCGTGTTGTTTGCAGCACATTTCTTTGTCAAGATATTTGGGTAATAAATGCTACGAAAGCTTGAAACGCTCTGTTAAGACAAACAGATATGCGAATATGAAGCTTTTATCCCGCGAATTCAACGAAATGGTGTGCTATGGCTTTTATTTCTTCCCTACGGCATTTGCCAGTGGCTCTTTTCGCGGCGCACTTCGACTTCGGGAATTGGAATATCCCATGATCCATGTGACGCACTAGTTCAAACTTGTACCAATGTGTTCCTCGGTAACAAGCCCTTGTCTACTGGGCCAATCACGAAGCTCTTTATTCAAACCAGTGGAGGTGCGCGCGGTCGTTGTCACGACGGTGGTGGTCGTGGCTGCAAGGAAGAATTGCAGTGTTGTTACAAATCCTTGACAGCGTAATTTGCGCTCGAAAATAATTGAAATTGATATCCTTATTACGTCTTGACAGTGCTGCAGTGGGACTACCCAGTGCTATTATTAGACGCACCTAGTCCTGAGGTTTCACTTGAGTAGCTTTTTGGAATATGCCCTAACGG